ACTTACCTTCTTTCTATCAGGTATGTTTCTGTGGCCCCCACGTGAGGCACACGGTGTGAGTGTCAGGAAGGCTGTGATACAGCTGCTCACTGAGAACCTGCGCCCCTGCACGAGAGGCAGAATGGTTCGTGCGCAGCCCCCATCCCTCTGTTTTAGGCCCACAGGGAGAACCTGAGCCTCCAGAGATACAAGGCCTGGCCCACTGGTTCTTTTCTCACTGCAGAGCCTTAGGTCCTGTGAAGAACGGGACCAGCTTTCCGTGGGGCTTGTTTAGTTCACAGTTTTGCTGAGCTCTTCATGGGCTTTTCTGTGACCTCGCCTTGGGCTTACGTAAGCTGCCTTTCTCCGTGATACTGGGTACCTTGACTGTGCTATGGAATTCACGTATATATTTTGCCCTCTCCTCCCACAGCAGGGTTCTGTTTGGTCATCCTTGGTCATCTGTTGCATCCCTGGTGCCAGCGCTGACACAGTGGACACCATATTTGGGGACCCAGTGAAAGTGGAGTGTCTGGTTTGACCTTCCCTGGGCGGTCTGGAGCACAAAAGCTGTGTCTCTAATTGTTAGCCCTCCTGGAATTAATTAAAGTTTTAGGGCTGGCCCTGTGATGTTTAGGGCTAGAAACAGTAGGGGGACCAGGGCAGACTCTGTTCCTACCTTTGGAGCTCTTGGGCCAGCAGAGGCGGCCACATTGCCAGAGACAAGAAGAGGTCCATTTTGTGAGGGGAGGGGCAGGCTGAGCTCTGAGTATCAAGTGTCCTTGTCCTAGGAGAAGACAGCCAGGAAAGGTTTCCCTGAAGCATGGAGCAGGGCTAAGGAAGCACGGTGAGCAGCGCCCTTGGTGGGGAGCACAGCGCGGGGCTAAGGAAGCGAAGTGCCGTGAACAGCGCCCTTGCCAGGGAGCGCGGCGTGTGCAGAGGTCCTGGGTAAGAGCGGATCCGTCAAGGGTCCCGGAGGAGGATGGCTGCGTGTGTTGGTCTGCTGAGGCTGCCGTTGAGAGGAAGGGCTGCAGCAGGTGTCTCTGTCTCTGACAGCCTCTGGAGGGCCTTGGGCATGTTCCATGTGGGCCTGGGAGAGGCCCTGGGTACGGTCAGCTGTGCTTGGAGAGGCCCACTGAGCGCGGCTGCGGCTCTTGGTTTGTTTGGAGAACATGGCTAGGCAGAGTGGGATACTTGACCGGATCTCTGGGGGTGCAATGAGGGAAGGTGTGTGTGTTGGGGTGGTGGGGAAGACAGGGAGATCTGCTCTGGGCTTATTCTTGCCCCGGTCTCTGGCAGCTGCCACACCTTCATCCTGCTTCAGTCCCACCTTCTTCAGGAGACAGATGGGAGGGTGGGGGATGTGTGGTGGAGAAGAAAGTTAAGTCTTTCTAAATGCCACCATCTCACCAAGGAGGTGGAGTAGGTAAAAATTTACATGTTCAGAAATATCCTCTATCTCCACCCCCCAGAGGGAATGATGCCACCTGACCAGCACAGCTGCTGCTTTAGGAAGCATGCAGTTTGGGTCCTGAGGCCGCCCTGAGGCCCACACCCGGAACTCTTGTTAGCCCGTTCCTTCTGATTCCTTCTGTGTATGACACTGAGGCACCCATCTCCTCGTGTGCTGAAGCTCAGGACGGGGGATCCACACTGACCCTGTGTTACTCTTCTAAAAGCCCTGCTCGAAGTTACGATGTTGAAGCCAGTTTGGACTATCTAACAGCGAGACCAAGTCCTAAATACCGTGCAGCAGTCTTTCTCTCCCCGCCTTCTTCTTGTGCTGGGATGGAATCCAGGGCCCCACATGCTAGTTAAGCATGCTCCCACTGAGCCATTTCCCTTAACCCTCTGCTAGTTTTCATTTTGAGGCGCGTCTCACTAAGTTCAAGACAGGCTTTGGACTCTCTGTAGCTTGGGAAGGCCCTGAGCTTGTGATCCACTGGCTGCAGCCTTATGAGATCTGGGATTATGACTTTGACACAGTACTTCGTGTGTGTGTGTGTGTGTGTGTGTGTGTACAAGCTCATGCATACATTCAGGCACCATGCTATGCACACGAATTTCAGAAGACAACATTGTGAAATGTGGGGGTTGGTTTTCTCTGCCGTGTGGGTCCTGGGAATGGAACTCAGGTTGTCTGGCTTGGTGGTGAGTCTCTTTACCAAGATGGAAATTAGTACCTTTCTGGCACCCATCCACAACAGGATGGATAAATAAACTAGTGAAAATGTCCAAGCACAAAGGGCCATGACCTGAAACACAGAAGACCCAGAAAAAGAAATGAACAAGGAGTAGCTACCAGGGCAGGCCAGCTCCAGAGAGGACTGAAGGCAGGAGTGGGCACGCTTGCGAGCTGATAGTGCTCCCTGTGAACACATGGCTGTGCATCACCCTTTCTGCTTCTACTGCGTTCGAGAAAGTCTTCATCACAGGAAATTGTCATATGAAAGAGTTCCAGTTTGGGAGTTGAGACAGTGCAGAAGAGCCCAATTCAGGTTTCTGAACTGCCAAAGCAGGAGTCTCCCACTTCCTCAGAAAGGCACTTGCTTCAGCCTCCCCTCTAGGAAGGCCTGACCCCCAAAGTCCTGAGGACCTAGCTTTCAAGCCCAGCTCTGCTGTATCTTGGCCATAGGAGTGAAATCACATGTGTGGTTAGCTCTGGGCAGGGAGGAAAGGTGACTGGAGATGGCCAAAGGGGCTCTGACCACAGCTGGTGAGATTTATTCTGTCTAAGCAGTGGCTGAGAGCCAATCGTGGTCACACACACCTGTGACCCCAACATCTGGAAGGCTAAGGCAGGCGAACTGCCCTGAGGTTTGGGCCAGTCTGGACTACATAGGGAGTGGAGCCCAGCCTGGGCAACGTGTAAGGCCCTGTTTCAAAACACACACACACACACACACACACACACACACACACACACACACAAAACAAAACACTGCTGAGCGCATAGCTATCGTAGACCAATCTTTTATATCAAACAGAAGAATCTAGTATCATCGTTTTAACTTGTCTTTGGGGCTAGGTATATGGTTCAGTTGGTAAAATACAAGAACCTGAACTCAGTCCCCAGACCTGTGAAAAAGCTGGGCTTGGGGGCTAGAGACGGGCAGATCCTTGGGGCTTACTGTGCTCAGTGAACTCCAGTCCAGTGAGAGACTGTCTTAAGAGACAGGGGGACAGTGCCTGAAGATTGCACCAAGGTTGTCCTCTGGCCTCTCCATACAGTACGCACATAACCCTGCACACAGCCACACACGTGAATGTGCACATACACACGGTTGTCTTCAAGACATTGTATTTCCATCTGTCTAGCTCATGCACTACTCTCAGTGGTATTCAGAGGCCCCCTTGGAAGCCAGCTATCACAGCTCGGGGTTCAGATAAGAGAGGTAATTATTGATGACACTAAGGACCTGAACTGGCAGGGTTCATGGGCAGAGAAGGAGAAGAGGGTCCACCTTGTGTAGCTGGACACAGCCTAGAGAACAAGTTAAGCTTCGCAAAACACGGTTCCTGAGCTTACGATGTGAGGGTACATAGATCGCAGCACTGCCCACACCTTTCTCCACTCCGGGACATGTGGTCACTGAAGCCAGAGCCCTTCCATCCTGAGCCCAAGCAGTACGAGGCCTGCACCATCCCTCTTACTTCCCCTGAGGCCTTCCGTTCCAGCAGTGCTTGGCTTCTGAGACCACCGAAACTCCTGCTCCTTAAGGGAAGAGAAGCACAGGTCACAGGCTAGGCTGTGCTCATGCCACTTTGAGAAGCCTTCCAGATTCCCTTACCTCAGTGAGGGAAGAGCAGGGTCTTGCCTGTCCCAGGTATCCCTGGATCCCCGTGGCCTTCCTGTATTGGGCACACGGTGGGTGCTTGGCAAAAGTATGTCATGGCTGTAATTCCACAGACCTGTAATCCCAGCTCCTCAAGACACAGAGCCAAGTGGGTTGCAAATTCAAATACTCTTGGGCTATAGAGTAAGTTCTCAGCCAGTGTAGGTAACTTGGGACCATGCCTCTAGGTTAAAGAGAGGGTTTGGGCTCATGCTTGCCTCGTATGCACAAGACTCCAGCTTGAATTCCCATTTCTGGAAGACCATGAAATGAACATATGTAGAGTGAAACTTGGTACCAGAAACAGCTCAAAACAAGCTCAGTTCCCCTCGGCAGCTGGCTGTGGCCTCTCACCCCCTCAGTGGCCTGGTTTCCCTGCCAGACTCAGAGATGGGCCCTGAGAGGCAGGAGGGCGGCGAGGATCCGCACTTCCCAGTGGCAGCATCGGCGGGGAGCTCCTTCCTGACCCGAGTCCTGCTGAGGAAGGGGCAGGGAAAGCCCCACCCCATTTTGCCCCACAGCCTGTCCCCTACTGCTGAACCAGGCTTTCCCTCTTAGAAGAGGAACTGCTCAGAAAGAAAATTCAGAGACAAAAACCTGTCATTGACAGGCAGGGTCTGGTGTGGGGCTTGAGGACCGGGCAGGGGGACCTGTTTCTCAGCAGCTGGCATCCACTGTCAGCTGGTTTACTGCTTACAAGAGCATTTTGGTAAAAGTCCATGGTGTGGAAAACATCCACGTGCCACAGAAATACCACAGAAAGGGCTGGTTACTGGGAAAGTGCTGGGTTTGGCTAGCCAAATACTGAGTTTTAGTTATTCCTGATAATTTTCATGCAGGCCTCACCATTTTACATCCCTGCAGTAGGCCACACATAGCATTGTGAGTTTTTGGGTCTTAGCTCTCCCTGGCAGGTGGCATCATTAATCTCTGTCGCCTCATAACTAATAAGCTTTGTGTGTTTCTTGTTTAGGCATCCCTTCCTGTGAGGACCCCTTGTTCTGTTCACCTGGCCTCCTAGGTGGCTCGCATTTAGTCACCAGCTGCAGTCTCAGCTCTGGCCCTTTACACACGCATACGTGGACACTGTGGGAAGCAGCAGCTAGCGTGTGACACACACACAGCGGCTCCCTGCTGGTGTGTGCAGAAAGGCAAGCAGGACGGGTTTCCATGTGCTCGGGTTCCACAGGCACGTCCCTGTCCCCCTCTGAGTGCCCTCAGTGAGCAGGCCATCCGCTTGGCTGTGCCGCCTGGAATTTCATCACCGCAGCACTGCGTCACAGACACCTCGGCTGAGGCGCCACCCTTAGTGGGAGGACGGCTAGAGCCAGGCAGGACACAGGGGATCTTCCAATTCCTCCCCCTGCTCTTGCCTGCCTGAGCTGCTGCTGACTTCTCAGTTGCTGAACCGAGACTGTGTAAAGTGTCTCTGGCGTGTGGAGCTGTGGCCAGGGCCCCTACCACTCAGCTGGGAGACCCAAGGTAAACGGCTGCCCTTTGCCGAGCCTCTGCCCTCACTTGGGCATGTTATAGTCCTCTGGTCGGGTACTGGGTTGGCAGTGGCCCTCAGACTCTGAAACCCTGACCATTCCTGGCGCACCTGGATGCCTCCATGTAGCTCTTAACAACAGCAACTGTGGGCAGAGCTGTGCTTCAGGCACCACAGAGGCTCACGCTAGGTGCACTGTGGCTACTGGGTCTCAGAGGCTTCAAGAGGCGACATTGCTTTGGGCTCTTACTTCTCTTCCCAGCTCACTAGGAAGTATTCAGGACCGACCCATAGCCAGGGACACTTTAGTCTTTTGGTTTGGGGGCTTCGACACTGGGCCTGAGCAGTCTCTCTGGCTTCCTTTGCATTCTGCCCCAGCCATAGCGATTTTCCATTTTCCTGCCTGAAACTCTTTCCATGTGCTCCCTCCGTTACTGAGGCTTTGTTCACGTGTGCCTGTCACTGTGCAGCCACACAGCTTCAATCCGTGCTATTTCCTCCTCATTTCCGCTCAGCACCTCTCCAGCCCTGACATTGTTCTATGGTACGTGTGTGCGTGCGTGCGTGTGTGCGTGCGTGCGTGTGTGTGTGTGTGTGTGTGTGTACCTGTCGTCCCTCTTCAGAATGTGAGTTTTGCAAGGCCCTTCACTGTGTCTATATCTGGCGCCTAGGCACCCTCAGGAGGTTGGCGGCATGGGCTGAGTTCAGGTGCTCCACAGCTCGGCCCGTTGATTGCTTGGGGGCGTCAGGGCGGGCTGTCTACCCCAGTAGTGTTGGTGGGTGTGGGGCAGTTGCCCAGAAGGCCTCAAACTGCCCCTGCACAGCTTTAAAAGATCTGAGAGTGCACCACCTCCCTGAGGCCCCCAGGGGAGAGGATCTAGAAGGTGTGAGCGGAGGGGGAAGGGCCGAGCAGCCACTGTCCAGATGGTGTGCCCTTGCTTTCTTGGTTCAGGAAGCACTCACGTGGTCCCGTTGGTATAGGGAGGACTTTGTTCTGTTTTCTAAGCACACTGGGGAGCTGTCAAGGGTTTGGACATGGAAAGACAAGGTCAGATGTAGATGGAGGGTTGAGACTGAGGCTAAGGAATAGGAAGAGGCCTGAGTGGGGAGGAGCCAGGCCTGCAGGACTCCGGGCTGAGGCAGGGAGAGTGTGCAGGGTGGGTGGGCAGACAGCTGTCTGAATGAGACAGTAGAGGCAGGTCTGTACAGCCTGGTGCGCCAAGCTGAGGACTTGGCATTTTTTGCCAAGGACATGGGGGCCGTGGAGGATTTTGAGCTGAGGAAGGACGGAATCTTTGTTTGGGTGCCCTGGAACTCATTCTGTAGACCAGTCTGGCCTCCAACTCACAGAAATCTGCCTGCCTTTCCCTCCTGTGTATTGGGATTAAAGGCATATGCCACCATACTTGGCTTAATCCTGAGTCATTTTTGAGGGTCCCTTTGGCCACTGAATTGGGGCAGGGAGGTAAGACCCCAGGAAGATGTGGAAGAGGATCCTACCAGCCAGCATTAGAGAGAGAGTGGGGAGGTTGAAATAGATGGGATTTTGGGGCTGAGGGCCGCCGAGCTCCTGTGTGTTTGGGGTCTGTGGGCGGGGGAGGAGCAGGGCCCCTTGTTGTTCTGGCCCCACACTCCTTCACTGTCTCTGCAGCTCGGAGCCCAGCCTGTGATTTCGCACCCTTCTATCCTCCCTGTCTTTGGCCACCTTGCCTTTCCTTTGCTTCCTCCCACTTACCTCCCTTCCTTTTGCCCAGTGCCTGGGCAGCCTGCCACTGTCACATGCCAAGCAGTACTGTGTCCAGCCCACCAGCTCCCCTGGGGCACGAGAGAAAGCTGATGCCCATGGTGTCCCTAGAGCCAACTGCTACTTCTCCAGGGGCCTCTGTAGCTCCTGACCTGCTGTCCGCAAATAACCCTGGGCTGGGAGAGGCAGGCACAAGGCACTGTGGGCTCCATGGCCCTTGTCCAGGCCCAGGCTTCCAGGTAAGGGCCAGCTGGTGGCCGCCCGCTGATGCCCTCCCCTCTTCTCAGGGAACCTGAAACTCAGCGGCAGCTTCGGCGTCTGTTAGTCTGTTGGCTGTTAGTCCCTGAGGACAGATGCAGAGGTCTTAGAGAAGGGACCAGAACCTTGGTCAATCCCCAGGACTGGCCTCTCAGTCCCAGACCAGTGTGTGTGCAGTAGGTTTCCCTCAGGGTACCAGCACTTCTGAGACTTGCATTCTCCTTATCCGCCTGGTGGGAACACAGAGGAACCCGAAGTTGGGGGCGATGAGGTGGGTCTCCCTGTACTTGGGAGGGAGACAGTACTTAGTTTGCTTAGGGTGGTGTGTTGAGTTGGAAAGAAACGAGTGTGTGCATGAGTCTGTCTGTCTTGGGGGCAGGCAGATGCTGGTGGCTCTGAGCACACCCTGGGTGCCCAGGGCTGTCTGATTCATCCTGGGTTAGCTCAGTGCTGGGGCGGTGGGGTGAGGCAGGAGGTGGGGCTGTGGCTACCTTGCTCTCTTCCTGTAGGCGAGAAGGGGAGAAGAGCTTTGCTGCAGAGCCTGTGCACATTCGGCTCTTTGGGGACCCCATGTTTCCTTCTCAGGACTGGGCCCCAAGGGAAGAGCTTCCCGCAGCTCCCTGGCTGTACCCATGGTTCGGCCAGCTACAGAGGCAGAGGGCCACAGAGCCCAGGAGGGGCCGGTGCATCTCTCCCCATCACAGCGTCTCTCTTGTTTCTTGTAGACTGTACTGTGTCCGAGGTACCTCCTGCATGTCCTGCTGCCCTGAGCTGTCCCAAGCTAGGTGACAGCGTGTCAACGCTGCCGCCATGAATGAGGTGTCTGTCATCAAGGAAGGCTGGCTTCACAAGCGTGGTAAGGGCTCGCTGCCACCGAGCGACTGTGTCTCCCTCCTACGTCCTGCTCTCCTCCAGCCCCTGGAGCCCAGCTCGAGGAACCATTACCCCAACTGAGCCCAGGGAAAGTTTCAGGCTCTCCGTCTTTGTTGGTGACCTCATTCATGCCCACATCTTAGAGGTGAAGCAGCTGAGGCCTAGAGAGAAGTCACATAAAACTCAAGTAACAGAGCCAGGCAATAGCCAATTTATTTATCAAGTCGTCTTTGATTGTCAGGGTCTGGGACTGGGAGGCCGTGTTCCATTGGGAGTGGCAACACAATAAATAGACACACACAATGTTAGGTAGCAGGAAGTGCCATGTGACTCAGGGCCAAGGGCCTGGGCAGAGACAGGCTCACGGGGAGCCACTGAGGAGGCGACAGTGAGTGGAGCCTGGAGAAGGAGGTGGCAGGTGCCAGAGCTATCAGAACTGCCTGGAAAAGGTGTCCCAGGGGAGGAGCAGAAAGGGAGAAAGCTCTGAGACCTGCATGTGCCCGGTGTTTCTAAGAACATTGCAGCTGGAGCAGGGTGAGGCGGAAGCTGGGCAGAGCAGAAACAACCTCCCCAGCCACAGTTCTTCACAGGTGGCCAGAAGCCTCGGAGGCTGAGAGCCAGGCGGGACTCAGTGTGTGATGGGAAGCTGAGGCCCTGGAGAGGCTGTCGATAGAGAGGAGACTAGACCTTGAGAGCACAGGGTCCTGTGCCATGTGAGCCTGGGAGGTGATAAGGAAGCAGCTTGTGCTGAGAGCCGGCTTTGTCACTGCTGGCCTTCAGGGACCTTCTCCTGGGGAGGAAGGTGCCAGGCCTGCCGTAGCTGGTCCACAGACACCTCCACTCGCCCGCTGCGTAATTCGCGGAACAGCTCCTGTGTGCTGGAAGCCACTCTAGATCCACTCACAGTGGTGAGCCAGCCAGGCAGGGGCCTCATCTTTACGGTGACGTGTAACATCCTGGAGGAGATTAGGTGTCCAGGCTGCCTCGTGTCCAGTGGTGGCCAGTGCTGTGGAGTAAAATCAAACAATGAGAAGGGAGGTGGGTGTGAGGCAGGCAGCAGGGAGCCGTGCTGCATCTGCTGGTCGGGGGTGGACTCCTGAGATGCAGCTCGTGGCTCGCGGGCAGCGGTGTGTGGGTAGACAGGACAACCCAGCGATTGCCAAGAACCTGTCCTGCCATCCCTGGCCACAGACACTAGGCTGCTCCTTACGGCCAGCAGAACAGTAGAGGAAACCCCATTTCCTGCTGCCTTCACAGCGGGGTGCCCTTCAAGGCACCCCAGCCCTGAGTTTGGGGCTGTCAAATACAGCCATCCAAACATTGACACCTGATAAGTTGTGACCTTGGCTCTGCCATTTCCTCTTGATGTGACAGTGGGTAAGCTGTGCCACTTCTCTTTGATCTTTTGGTGTGTGTGTGTGTGTGTTTTGAACTGGGATTTTTTTGGTACCCCAGGCTGATATCAGCACTGCAGCAATCCTCCTGCCTCAGCCTTCTTAGTGCTAGGATTATAGGTGTGTGCTACTGCTGTGCTTGATTCTGAGTCTGCAAGCTGAGCTAATAATCCAGGCGTCTATGTCACCCCCTTTAGGCAGGTTTTCATGTGCTATATTTACTATGGTGTCTCTATTGCCTCAAGAAATTCTTGACGTATAGGAGGTGTTAAGTGAGTGACTGGGACTGTGCGCACCGGCTACAGTACTGGGGTGTGTGAGGCTGTGGGGCCCCTGTCCTTTGGCAGGGATTTCCCTAGGTTCACTGGGTTAGGAGTCGGGGAGGTGGCCCCGACTTGGCTGGCAAAATGAGTCTTGGCTCTGTCTCCTTTGAAGGCTTCGTGTCTGTTTGTTTGTTCAGGGCTCAGGTGAGTTGGCTACTGGCCCGCCCTTGTCTTTTTTCTGGCTTACCTGCCTGGGATATCCAATGCTTACGCACACGGGTGTGCTCCTGGACATTCTGAGTAGTGGCTGGTAGATGCAGGGCTCTGCTGGCAGATGCCTCCTGACAGTTGGGCATCTGTGCTGATGCAGTCCCATACCTGGTGGCTAAGGTGACCATTATAGTGGTTCATTCCCAGATTGTCAGGTCGCAGGCTCTGCCCCCAGGCAAGCCTGTGATGTTGGGCTTTCCTGGATGCCCTCTCAGCACAGACTAGCAGCAAAAGTGATGGCTGGAGGCCTTGGCACAGTCCTGTGGAGCTGAAGTGGGACCCTGGCCCTCTGCTGCTCATCTTGACCGAGCTCAAGGCCAGGCCTGCATGCAGGCTGCCTCATCTCAGCAGGCTCTGAGGGGTGTGACTGCCTCAGGTTCTCTTTGAGGCTCGACTTGAGCACATCACCACCACCTTGGGTAGAGCACTGTCTCCTCTGCTGGCGCGCAGGCCGACAGCGTGCTGGTCAGGGGTGAGTGCTGGCTTCCACTGCCAGCTATCCCATCAGCCAGCCCTGTGGGCCCTGCCATGAGAGTAAGCCTCCCTGACTCAGTTTTCTCACTTGACTGTGAGGGTTAGATTATGAGATTGGGTTTGTTTGCTTGCTTTTATTCCCTTCCCTGTAGGCTTCTTGTTATTAAAGTATGAAACACTTTTCAGACTTTAACCCCAGAGATAAGTACCTGGGGTTATTAGCCTATCTATGCCAGTGTGCAGATAAAGTAACAGCAAGACAGGCGGGCCTTGGTAGTGCACATCTTTAATCCCAGCAGAGGCAGGCAGAGCTCTGTGAGTTCGAGGTCAGCCTGGCCTACAGAGCAAGTTCCAGGACAGCCAGGGCTACACAGAGAAAGCCTGTCTCAACCCACCCCCCAAGGGGGAACAAGAAAAGAAACAGCAAGACGGCCTTCACCACCCCACGCCGCAACCAAGCTATAGCTGCTGCTTTTTAGGATGTTTTGTTGTTGCTGTTTGTTTTTGTTTTGTTTTTAAAATATTGCATGTTGCAGAGCCCGACCCAGGGCCTTGTACATGTGTAGCCTGTGCCCTGAGCTCCATCCCCAGCTTGAGTTTTTCTGACTTTTTGAAGAATTTTTTTCAAGTGAGGTAAAATTTCCATGATACGAAATAAACCTTCTTAACTGCCTGACTGAGTGGTCTTTAGTACGTTCATGGGGTTAGGTGCCCACAGCTTCTCTCAAGTTCCCAAACCCTTCATCACCCATGGGAAAACCTGGAACCCACAAAGCAGACACTTGGTCCGCCCTTCCTCACAGCACCCGGCAGCCGCTGCTTCCCGTCTTCTTCGATCCACCTGCGTAGATGCCTCTCGGCATTGGAACTGCGTGCTGTGGCCATTAGGACTGGCACCTTCACTTGGCATAGTGTTTTTGTGGTCATTCTGTCTTATACCTTGTGTCAATGCTTCATTCCTTTTTGGAAAATATTTCTATTTATGGTATGCATGCATGGGTATATGGACTTTTTAAAAAAAATCCATCCTTTGAATATGAATTGGGGTTATTTCTCCTGCTTCTGGCAGTTGCGAGTTGGTATCACTCTGAACAAAGTATATAATATTTGAATACCTGTTTTCTAATCCTTTTTTTTTTTTGAGACAGTCTCATTTAGCACAGAAGGACCTTAAACTCCTGATTCCCCTGCCTTTTCCTAACCACTGGGACCATGGGTACCCATGGAGCCCAGGAGAGGGCATGAAATCTTGCGGAGTTTCAGTTACAAGAGATTGTGAGCTGCCCCGCGTGGGTGCTCGGAGCCCTTCCCTGCAAGAATGAGAAGCACCGTTAAGCGCGGAGCCACCTCTCCAGCCCCGCACCCTTATAGCCAAATAAGTGTGGGGGTATGTCTGAGGGTCTGCTTGCCGTGCACAGACACCACGGCAGCTCTTATGAAGGAAAGCATTTAACTGGGGCTGGCCGATTCTTGATGTGCCTGGCCTATCTGTCTTTGGTGAAAAGCTGTCCAGGTCCTTAGCCTTTTTAAAACTTGGGCTCATTGCTCTGTTACTGAATTATAAGAGTTGTTTATATATTTTGGATGCTAAACTCATACATAAAATAATAAAACAAAGAAAAATTTAAAACCCATACACAAAAATGATTGAGAAATATTTTTTGCCTATTTTTGGGCTGTCTTTTCTTGTTAGCAGCCTTTCATGCAGAAAATTTGGAACCTTGATGACTGCTTTATTTTTTACTTTTGGTGTCACGACTGAATCTGAGGTAGTGAAGATTGAGTCCTGTGTATTCTACTAAGCATGGATTTAAAATAGAATTGTGTGTGTTTTGCATAGTGTGAGGTGAAGTCTCGCTGTCCCAGCATCCTTCTCACTGGCTGCTCTTGGCCCTCCTGTGACTTGGTTGGCCGGAAGTGCGTGGTTATGGTTTGATTCTTGTCTCCACTGCTGCAGTGTATGTCTGCTTCAGCCGCAATGTTTTAGTCACTGCAGCTCTCTGATACATCCTAAGATTTTTTGTTTGTTTGTTTGTTTGTTTGTTTGTTTTTAATTTTTTCAAACATGGTTTCTCTGTGTAGCCCTGGCTGTCCTAGACTTGCTTGGTAGACCAGGCTGGTCTCAAACTCACAGAGATCTGCCTGCCTCTGCCTCCCAAATGCTGGAATTAAAGGTGTGCGCCACAGCGCCTGGCTCTCTGTTAAGTTCTAAAATTGAGAAATGTGAGTCTTTCAACAAATGAACCCAGTTTGGCTCTGGACGCTGGGGTCCCTTGCAATTCCTCACGAATTTAAAATTTGGCTTTTCACTAGGTGTGTTGGTGCACTCAAATAAAATACACAGGAATAATATGTATTTTACTTCAGCCAAGGAAGCAAAACATTAACCAAAGAGGGCCCAAGACAGGGCTCATTGGATAAATTACTTGTCACAAAAGCCTGATTATCTGAATTAGTTCCTCAGAATCCATGTAAAGGTGGAAGAAGAGAACCAACTTCAAAAAAGTTGTTCTCTGACCTCTCCATGTGTGCCACAGCATGTACACTCAGACACACATCATGCATGTACACACGATAATCAT